GGTGGGAGGGTGGCCGGGAAGGTAGGCAGATGCAGAAATAGATGGTGGATGGACAGGACGGTGGACACAAGGATTACAGAGACAGCACGGATCCCTGATAGATAGACAGATTAAAAATGCACATGTAGATTAGCTGGTGACGCAGCCCCGGCTGGTGCAGGGCCACTGGATACGTGCCCGGCGCGTCGAGGGCATCTTCCCGGCCGCGCTGCGCGGGGCTCCCAGTCCTGCTCCGTCTCCCGCTTCTTTCAGCTCTGTACGCCAACACGGAGCTGGCCCGCCACTACCTGAGCAGCACCAGCCCCCAGTCCCAGCGCCACATGCTGCTGTACCTGGGCGGGACCACCTACCGCTGCTGGGCACACCTGGCCACGGCCGTGAGGTGGGTGCGGCCGCGCGCGGGCGCCCTCCTGCCTCAGCCTCCCCGAGCCCTGGGATGCCGGCGTGTGCCGCCCGGGGCCCGCCTAGTTCCGGGTAAGAGCTCGTGGTGTCTCCTCAGAGAAGGCACGAATCAGTACCTGAAGGCCTTCGGCGTTTGCTCCCGGGACCTCTTCGCAGCCATCTACAGGTAACCCCGAGCCCGCGGAGTGGCCGGTGCTGCGGTAGCTCGTCCTGGGAGGGCCACAGCCCGGGTCCCCGCACGTGCTTCTCGGGGACCCACCGGGGACGAGGCCCGGGTGACTGCGTCGGAGGCGGGACTGGCGGGGGTCCCGGGTGCCGCCTGAGGGGAGCGTGTGTCCCGCCCCCTGCTCCCCCACGACGTCCCACGGGGGGCCACACTTCTGCCCGTGGGCCTCCCTCTGAGCTGCTTGTGTCAGCTCGGGCTCGGCTACAGGACGGTCACCCAGGACGTAGGTCCCGGTGCACGACGGCAGGCCCAGCTGGGCGAGCGTGGGCACCCGCCCGGGGCTCCCTGCAAGCTGCGCCGGGTGCGAGGCCTGCGCGCCTCCCGCAGGTCTGAGGACGAGCTGCTGCGCTTCATGCGAGGCCTGCAGGAGGTGTGGAGCGTCAGCGGGCGCGGCGTGCTGGCCGCCTTCGACCTGGCCCCCTTCCCGCGCATCTGCGACCTCGGAGGTGAGCGCCGACGCCGGGCCGGGGCTGGGACCCCCATGCTGCCCCCGCAGGGGTTAAGAGCGCGGTGCCCGGCGTGTTACCGGACGCTGTGGCGCGTTGGGGTGCACCGTGGACAGTGTGGAGGTCCACAGGACCACATGAGGACCACGTGAGGACCACGGCCACACAACCTGCTCCCCCCGCCGCTGGTCGCCAGGGCAGCCGTGAGCCCCCGGGGCGTGCGGGAGGGTTTCCCACCCGCCGGCTGTGGCCTCCTCCTCGTCCTGGCTTCCAGGTGGTGGCAAAGCCAGCGTTGCCGCAGCCTTTCCGTGGCCAGGCTCCCCCTCAGACGTGGCAGCGCCGCGGTGCCCCACCACCCAGTGCCGGGCACACGCTGCACCAGTGTCCGGCTGCCCCGGCCGCCCCAGGACGGCACACCGGGCCCGGCCCTGCCCTGCCCGCGAGCCTGCGGAGCCCTCCCACGTGGCCACCGCACGCCTTCCGCTCCTTGACCACGTTCCCTTCTTCCGTCGCCCCCTCCTCGGCCCGGTGCTTGGCGTGTGCTCCGCGGCGTAGGGTCCCAGTGCTGTCGCACACACGGTGCTTGACTTAAAGCGGTCCGCGGTGCTCGTGGGCGTGCGAAGAGGCAGCGCCTTAGGGGCAAGTGGGGAGGAGAGCGGTGAGGACATTGGGGCGCTCTCGCCCCCCTTCACCTCCTCCTCAGAGCGCCCTGCGCGGGGGTCTCGGGAACCGAGTGGCCTTTTGGGGTGCACTGCAGATGTGAAGCTCGGTGACCTCCAGGTTTCCCCAGTCTTGCCCCTGGGGACCCGGCCCTGTCATTTCAGCGGCCACACTGCTGCTCAGTGGCTCTACTTGGGCCTCGACTTCCCTTCGGACGCAGGCCCTTCTGGAGCAGGGAGCCACGCAGGCTCGTGGAAGCGGGGCATGGAGGGGCAGGAGGGCTGGGGAGGTTGCCGTTTGTCCTCCAAGAGGAATTCTTCCCTCCTGTGTGGTTGACGGGGAGCCTGGCGCCGGGCGCTGCCACGTCTTGGGACGGAGCCTGGCCACGGAAAGGCCTCGGCACTGTTGGCTGTGCCACCACCCGGGAGCCCGCAGGGCGAGGAGGAGGCCACCGCCGGCGGGGAAACCCTCCCGCTCTCCTGAGGGTGCCCGATGGCGGTGCGTGCCCGGAGCAGGGCGCCGGGCGCTTCTCAGTGGCCCTCTGAGCCTCAGACTGTGGCCCCGTGGGATTCCATTGGCATTGCGGGTGGCCTTCGTCACGTTCCCGGGCGCGCCCGCAAGCCTGGCCCATGGCTGGGCGCGCTGAGCGCATCCACCGTAAATGGAAGGGCCCGCTTGGGAGTGTTTCACCCCGGCTGAGAGTTGCAGAGGACGTGGAGAGGCCGCCTGACAGGAGGATTAGAGCCGAGGGCCCTGCGAGGGCGGGCCTCGGTGGCTGCTCCCGGGCAGGAGTATCATGGCGGATGGGGGGGGGAGGGATGCTCACAGCCTGAGGGGCTGGGGATGGGGGAGAGACAGACAGACAGACGGACAGACAGACAGACAGATGGGGGGAGACAGAGACAGAGACAGAGTTAGAGGCAGAGAGACAGAGACAGAGATAGAGAGGGACAGAGACAGAGCTAGCTTGTCAGGGGACACCAAGTACCGCACCAGGCCACGTCCCCGCGGAGCCCTCCCTTCCCCTCAGCCCACCGTCCTGCATCTCCGCTGCCTCCCCGGCGCCACCACACCCAGCACACGCCGTCCACACATGGTCTGACCCTCTGTGGACATCGGAGTCCTCAAGTGCGGTTACATTGCCAGGCCCTGTCTTCCAAGCAGATGCACGGTGTGTGTGTGTGTGTGTGTGTGTGTGTGTGTGTGTGTGTGTGTGTGTGTGTGTGTGATTTTAGATTGAAACTGTGACAGAATCCTCAGCGTGGGTCTCCCCCCCATTGGATGCATCCTGGTGGTTTTTAAAAGCTTTTCATGGGCCCACGATTTCCGGGGCTGTCGGGGGCTTTCCTTGCGTGGAGCCCGCTCGTGTGTAGGAATCACCTCCATTTCTTTCTTTTGCACCTTACTTAGAGTCTGGGTTTCTCCCCTAAGAGAATCCACACAACGTTTAGGGCTGTGTGTCTGAGTGATTTCACCTAACGTTATGGCCTCACCGTGCACCCATTTTGTAAGGCAGTCGAAGCCCAGCTTTTTCATGGCTGCGTCGTACTCCATGGTGTGTCAGCAGCACCTTCTCTTCTATGCACGTGTCACGCAGGCCGCTTCCCAGACATGTAGCTGCTCCCAGTCCCGATGCTATAGCACGGCCGTGCACGGTCGCTGTGCTGCGCGCCCTCCACACGTCCAGGAAGTTGAGGGGGTGAAGGGACTCTGCGCGTTGTTGGCGGGAAGGAAGCTGGAATGAGCAGGGTAGAAGTCAGTCCGGAGGTTCCGCAAAGGAATTTCTAAGGCGGGCCTGCTGGTGTGCGCCTGCGATCCCAGCGCTCAGGAGGCTGAGTCAGGAGGGTCTCTGGGCACTGGAGACCAGCCCGGGCTGCGCAGTGAGCTCCCGGCAGCCTGGGCCGCCACCCAGGACTGCTGCATCAGCAGAGGTGGCCTTGGACCCTTCCCGTGAGCGGGCTAAGTGAACCTCTGCTTCTCTCTACCCGCACCCAGCCTCAGGCGTTTCGAGTTAGCCTGTACGACACTTGCTGCTGGTCACCCTCTGCGCCGGGAGCCCCATTGCCCTCTCCTCTTAGAAACTGTGGGTGTTGGGTGTGCTGTCCCAGGAGAGGGGACCTGCCTGGCACACAGGGAACCCCAGGGAACGGGTCGGGCAGGCTGCAGGAGCGCACGGCCCACCCTCGGCCCCGCGGGATTCCGTCTGCAGCACACGCCCAGGTCCTGGGGCAGCCCTGGCGCCATCCTCCGCGTGTGCCCCAGGCCAGGCGGCATCCTCCGCGGGCCTCAGTGTCCCCAGCTGTCCCCGTGGCCCCAGGCGGGCCTGCGCGGGCTCGCGGGCACCTCCTGGCCGGGCAGGCAGCTCCCGAGCTGAGGCGGCGTGACCTCTTCCAGGAGGGTCTGGGGCGCTGGCGCGGGAGTGCGTCGCCCTCTATCCGGCCGCGAAGGTCACCGTCTTCGACACCCCCGAAGTGGTGCGCACGGCCAGGAGGCACTTTCCCTTCCCAGAGGAGGGGCGGGTCGTCTTTCAGGAAGGTGAGAGGCCGCGGGGTGTCTGCGGGGAGCTCCCTCCTGGGCGGTCGGCTGGGCCCCCAGATTTCAGCTTCCAAAATAAGTCGCCCCCTTTTACAACACCGAGGTTCAATCCCAGCCTGTCTCAGCAAGGTCCTCCTGCAGCCCCTTTTAATTTTAATCTTTCTGAGGCAGGGTCTCGCCGACTCAGCTGCCCAGGCTGGGTCTGAAGTCATTGTCTGTCCTGCCTCGGCCTCCCGGAGGGCTGCGGTGACAGGCGGGAGCCACACATGTGGCCCACCCGTTGTGTTTTACACTGTGCTTAAGAAAAAAAGTCAAAGCATTGGGCAGAGAGTCCACAGCGACGCTCACACACAGCGATGTGTGGTTGGCTTACGACAGAAGGTGGTGGGCCAGCCTGCGCAGTAGGCGCAGCCACGTGCTCTGCGCTTGGCGGGTGGCACATGCCCAGGCCGAGCCTCACTGTTTGGGGTTGTCCTGCTGTGGTGGGGGGCACCTGGGGCCGGGGAGTTGGGGTGCAGAGGGTCCGGCTCTCCTGCAGGAAGCAGCGTAGGAGCAGGGCCCTGGGCTGTGGGGCTGCGGGGCTGCAGGGCAGCGGACCCCAGGCCCACCCTGTGCCCGCACAGGGGACTTCTTCCAGGACCGCCTCCCGGAGGCCGACCTGTACATCCTGGCCCGGGTCCTGCATGACTGGACAGACGCGAGGTGCACGGAGCTGCTGGCCCGCATCCACGGCGCCTGCAGGCCAGGTGTGTATGGCCAGCTGGGGAGGCCTTGGGGTGGGCAGGGCCTGCAGTCCCACTGCTGTGGCATGGCCTCTGTGGCCTGGCTTCTGTGGCCCAACCTGTGGTCATGGCCTCTGTGGCTCAGCCTGTGTGGTATAGCTTCTGTGGCAACGGCCTCTGTGGCACAGCCTCTGTGGCACAGCCTCTGTGGCCATGGCCTCTGTGGCTCAGCCTGTGTGGTATAGCTTCTGTGGCAACGGCCTCTGTGGCACATCCTCTGTGGCACAGCTTCTGTGGCCCAGCCTCTGTGGCAACAGCCTCTGTGGCAACGGCTTCTGTGGCCATGTGCTCTGTGGCACGGCCTGTGTGCCCCAACCATGCCTCCATGTCTGTCCCCAGGTGGCGGCATCCTCGTGGTGGAGAGCGCCCTGCAGGAGGACGGGCACGGGCCCTGCACCACGCTGCTGCTGTCCCTGAACATGCTGCTGCAGGCCGAGGGCCGGGAGCGCACCCCGGGCCAGTACCAGGCGCTCATGGCCGCCGCTGGCTTCGGGGACTTCCAGTTCAAGAAGACGGGTGGAGCCTACGACGCGATGCTGGCGCGGAAGCCCCTGCCGCTGGGCCCTGGCGACGCAGGGAAAGCTCAGCAGGTGGAGTAGAGACCCAGCGCCGTGGCACGGGGCCCGGGCGTCCCGGGGTGCGGCCTGGAGGCGAGGTCCTGTCCCGGCTGCCCCGTGGCGGCAGCGTCCTGCTCCCATGCCTGTGCCCACGGTGCTCGGGCCCTGCGGCAGCCACCGTGGCCGCACCCTCTGCGCCGGAGCCTCGCAGCCTCCGCCCCTGGAGCCGTGAGCGTCGCCTCAGCCACAGACCGCTCACTCTGCTTCTCCAGGTCCGCCCTCCAACACCTCCACACGCAGGGCCACGAAGCCCCTCAATCTCCGGCCCCACGCGCGCCCGTCCCGCCGTCCCGGCCGCTGTGGCAGCGGCTCCGCGTCCTCCCTCCTGAGGGGCTTTCCCAGGTGCGGTCAAAAACCCGGTGACTAGGGCTGGCGAGATAGCTCCGTGGTCTAAAGGCCTGCTTAGGAAGCGTGCAGGGACCTCGGTGCATCCCCACCGCCACAAGCCATGCCAGCCCCGCCCCGGGGTGGGCTGAGCTGACCATAAAAAAAAGAAAAAAAAAATAAATAAAGGAAACATTAAAAAGCAAAGCAAAACCCGGTGACTTTCCCTGCAGAGCGCCGTCAGCAGAAAGGCAGCTGGAAACGCGGCTGCCAAGGCTGCGGCAGGAGGGCGCCGTGGTCCCGGCCGGCCAGCAGGTGGCGCCAAGGTCCACGGAATGAGCGGCTGCCGGCTCCCCGCGTGGCCGCTGGCTGTGGGCACCCCGGGGTGGGGTGGGGGGCAGAGGCGCCCCGCTTTCCCGCCTCCCTGTGCTCCTCCAAGGCCCGGCCCGCTTCGCCTTCCTGCAGCTGGGCCCCCCGGGGCGGCTTCCCGGGGCCCAGGGAGGACGTGGGCAGAGTGACTCACGGCTCGTAGGGCCACACAGCGGCGGCCACATGCCCTGCCACGGCGTGCGCACGCGCACACACACCTGCACACACATGCACGCACGCTTGGGCTTGGGCCTGATCGCGAATAAAGCTGTTTGCTCCGTCTTCTGCGGATGTAGAGGGCTCTTCTGGGCGGAGGGGACACGTAGGTTTCATTCGCTTCCCCCGCACCCGGACCCTGCGGGGCTCGGGCGGCCTCGCACCTGCGAGCCGGTGGCGGCTGGGCTTGTTCTCCGAGGCCTGGAGGTGCTGACCCGCCGTCACAGGGCAGCGTCAGGCAGTCCGAGCTCTCGGCCTGCACTGTGGGTGCTTCACGCACGAGAGGCCACGCGATGCTGTGTCGCGTTCCTACATGTGGCCCAAGCTCCTTCTTCATGGCTGCATCATACTCCATGGTGTGTAAATTCCTCGTTTTCCTCCCAGGACACCCAAATCCCTGGATAGCCCTTCTTCCTGCACCCACCTTGCCAGGTCCCCTTCCTTGGCTCCCGTGGATGGCACCCTTCTCCCCCACACACTGAGTTGCCTCAAATGTCTCCTCTCCTCTCTTTACTCATGAATGTTTGTGGTACATTGCACAACAGCTCCAAGTCCCACTTATATATGAGAAACTCCTTATTAACTTTCTCATCTGTCTTATTTCTCTCACCACGGTGGTCTCCCTGCCCATCCATTTTTCTGAGTCTGACATGAGCCCATTGTTCAGGGCTGTATCATATTCCACCACGCGTCTATGCCCCGTTTTCTTTCTGCCTTCTTCTGTCGGCGGGCAGGCATCGAGGCCATCTCTGGAGCTCAGCGAGTGGGGGTGGCAATCCATAAAGCACAGGTTTCCCCCGTGTGCAGGGGCGCCCACCCGGCCTGGGCCGTGACTGAGACTGGGGGGCAACGACCAAAGCATACCCCTATGCGCATGGCCCCGGGAATGTGCACACTTAGGGCGCATCGTCCAGCATTCTCTAAGGGACTCCCGCTGCTGTCGCTTTCCTTCCCTGGGAAAAAGGCGGAGAGCTCTTTCTCAACAAGCTAGACAAGGAAATTCGGACGTGGTGGCCACGCCTGTCACCCAGCACGCCGGGGGCTGAGGCAGGAGGGTCTCACCTCAAGGCCGGGCTCAGGCTCGTGGCCTGGTGGGCACAGGACGGGCGGCGGGCTGGCTTCCTCGCCCGCTTCGTGCGCTTCTTGCTGGCCAGTGAACACCCGCGTGTGCGCTACGAGAACCGGAGTTCTCGTCTTGTTTCTGAAACCGTGTTTGTTTCTAATGTGTTTTACAACCATTTCTATTCTCTTTCAAATAAAAAAATAGGAAAAGCAAGTTTAAGAAGTGGACTCGAGGCTGCAGCCCGGCAGCCCGGCGCCCGGCTGGTGCACATGCGGTTCCCAGTCTGAGCCCCGCAACCCAGAACAAAAGGCCGTGAGAGGCTCCGCTGGGGCTCGCTGTCCTCCTCCGTGGGCGTCCCAGCTAATGCGACGTCCCCTCAGGCTGGAGAAGCCTGCTGCTGAGATCCAGCGTTGCTGGATTCTTTTAAGAAAATGTTTTGAGAAAGGGTCTCGCTGTGCAGCTCCGGCTGCCTTGAGCTCACTGTGCACCCAGCTGCCCTCGGGCTCACGGAGATCCTCCTGCCTCAGCTTCCCAAGGGCTGGGATGACGGGCGCGCACCACCGTGCCCGGCTAACGCAAAGTTTATTTAGCGTAGCACGTCATACCGGCTCCAGAAAGGATGCAGAGGCGGGGACGGGGTCGGACCGCGGCTGCGTCTAGGCTGCACCCTGTGGGAGCGGCCAGAGCACACACCAGTCCCGGGTGGGGTGGGCGCTCCACGGTGTGGAAGGTGGAGAGGAGGCAGATGTGCGGGCACAGCGGGTGGGTTAGAGTTTGAGAGGGACTGGGGGGTCGCGGCGTGTCCCGTGGGGGAGATGCTAGGTTCCCAGGAAGCACAGCAGCCCAGAGGCAGAAGCAGCCCAAACGTTCACAGACAGGCAAGCAGCTGTGGTAGGTCGGCGTGGTGGAATATGACGCAGCCATGAAAAAGCAGCGTGGCTCTGTTTCCTGAGACCGTACAGGTAGCCCCCGAGGACATGGTGCTCTGTAACATACACGGCTGCCCCAGGCGCCAGCGAGAGGCTCTGCTGAGGTGCAACATGCGAAACCCAGGAATCCTCGGGGACAGGAGGTGGGTTTGCGGTTGCTGGGGGTGGGGGCAGGGAGCAGGAGGGACTGCAGATGGGGCAGGGGCTTATTCGGGGGGGAGGATGCTGTTCTGGAGCGACACTGGGATGCCGGCCTCGGAGCACAGTGACGGCCCTTGTCCTCCCCGGCCGCAGGCATCTTTATTTTATTTAATTTTTAATCAAGACGGGGTCTCCTGAAGCTCTCAGGGGCTCAGGCTGCGCTGAAGCTTGCGGCCCTCCTGCCTCAGCCTCCCGGAGTGCCGCATGCTGCGTGTCTCCACTGTTGACCCAGGCTAGCACCGGGGGTCCAGCCGCACGGCCCGCCCCGGGTACCCGAAGCTGCCAGCCGGACAGCGGACAGCCGAAGGCGTGGCCGGGCCGCAGCGTGCCCCGCTGCAGGCGCCCCGGGAGACTCTGCCTGGCCCGGGGGTAGGCTGAGGCAGGAGGCCTTCCGGGCAGGCGGGGTGAGAACCGGCACCGGGAGGTGCGGCGGCTCCTTGCTGGCCGGTTCTACGGTGCAGTGCTGTGGTGTCCCCTGCCTGCTGTCCCCTGTCCGTGACCAGGGACCCCAGTGTCACAGCCCACACACCCAGTGTCGCGGAGCGGTCCTGTGTTCCAGGAAACCAGGCGAACGTCCACCCGGCGCCCAAGGCCCAGCCAGCGCCCGCCATCGCAGGCACAAGGAAAGCTTTCTTTTGTGTCCCTCGAGACGGCGGCTTGCTGTGTAGCCCAGGCTGGCCTCGAACTCACGGAGATCCTCCTGCCTCAGCCTCCCGAGTGCGGGTCGGCGAGTGCATAACATCCAGCCTGGCTCCTGCATTTTTTTTGGACTAAGTGACTTGCATTAGTGTGTGTGTGTGTGTGTGTGTGTGTGTGTGCACAGACCGTGTGCACGTGTGTGTGCCCGACGCTTGTCCCCGGAGTGCGGCTGCCGGCGATGCCCGCGCCAGGCCGGAGACGCACGCGCTGCTCCACCCGCAGGGACGCTGGCAGCGCGGCGGGCAGCGCGGCCCGGGGTTCATCTCCGGCGCCCCAGTAGACGGAGAGGCACGAAAGGCGCTCCAGCACATGCCAACCTCCTCATCTTTTGTGCTTTGCAGCCAGGTGGAATTTCATAGCAAACTTCCCCAGACGGGGTCGGACCCTGGCGGACGGCGGCGCGGTCGACCAGCTACCCCGAGCGCCCGGCGTGATTGACGGGCCTGCGCGGTTAGGAGGCGGCGCTCTCCGTGATTGACGGCGGCCTGGCGGCACAGCTGGCTGAGTGGGGAGGAGCTCAGCCAATGGGAGGCAGGGGGCGGGAAGGGGGCGGAGCCAAGGTGCGCCTTGGCGCGTTGACCTGCCTTTTTCTTCCCGGGCGGAATTCGCCAGAATAAGCGCTACGCCCTTGCTCTGGAGGCCCCGGGCGGGCGCAGGGTCAGAAAAGCTGAAAGCAGGGGTTTTGGAAAGCCGTGTTCAGGGCAGTCGTATTCACATAGCCAAGGAGAGGGAGCCACCCCGGGGACCCCGGACGGGGGAATGGACGGACAGAGCGTCCGGCTACGCAGCAGAATATTACTAGGTCACAAAAAAGGACATGGCTACCGAACAGGGACCAGGACCAGGAATCCTAGAAGGACAAGGTAGGGAGGTGGTTCCCAGCGGTGGGAGCAGGGCATGGGTGTCCAAAGGAGACCAAGCCGACTTGCACAGGGGACGGAAGGGCACGAATGAAGCCTGGCTTCCTCGCCCCACGGGGTGACGCACAGCCAGCAGCCTCAGGCCCGGGGGACCTGGCAAGCCCAGGCAGATGGAGCTGGCGTCCAGCAGGGGGCGCGCGTGCGCCGTGGCCGGCTCCAGCAGGGCGCCCCGACCTCCCGCCCGCGGCCCGACTGGGGACCCTGCCTGGGGTGTGGCCCTGCAGTCTCTGCCCCGTCTCTGAGCGGCTCCTCCTCTGTGCC